CCCTACTTTATATTTCCACGCGTGCATTTTAAGAATAACATGCTTCACGGAGCCCCTACTGGAAGCAAAGGTGCCGCAACACCATCTGGGTAGATGAGAAGTGAACTATTTTTGCCTGTTTTGCAACATTTTGCTCAACATGAAAGACCGTCAAAGGAACACCCAAAAGGATCACCATTTATGATGTTGCAAATCTAGCAGGAGAAGCTTTCCTTCAAGCTTTCACACCAAAAAATATATGCAGTGGATTTAAAGCATAGAGCCGTTTAATGATCAAATATTTTCTGATGATGACTATTTGTCATCATATGTAACAGCTAGGCCAAATCCAGAGAACGGACAACAGACTTCGTCCAACAGTGGTCAAATAGGAACATCAGAAGAAAACTCTCAAACATTACAAACTCAAATATCTCCAATAATTATTGAAAAAAATGTACGTCTTCATCAAATTCAAGAACATCCAGTGGATGCAGAAACGGAATCTCAACAGTCACAGTCGGGATTAACATTAAAGAGGCCACTTTGTTAAACCCCAATGTCAACAATTATAACTTTCGAACAGATTCGCCCTCATCCAAAAGCCAAGCAACGCAAATCCAACGTTAGACGTAAAAAACGCAAATCTTTAATACTAACTGACACACCTGTCAAGAAAATTTAGAAAAAGAAGCTATGATTCTAGAAGAAAAGGTCAATAAAAAAAATAAAAATAAATCAAACTAAGAGACAAGTTGTAAAAGAACGTGTATTTAGAGAATGCACATCTTCCAGTAACAAAAGTGTCAGTTACCAAGAAAGTTTCGATTCACCAGAAGATTTTGACGATGTAGAATCCAATCCACCCAAAGTTTCAAAAGGGGACTATGCTATTGCAAAAGTTTATGGCAAGACTAATGCAACCTGTAGGCATTATGTGGTTCACATTGATAACAATTTGTTAAACGGTTAGTTTTATGAAACGCCATAACCAAACACGATATTTCTTAGAAGGCGACCTCGGTTTTGTTCTTGCATGTGATTCTTTAATGCTAATGGCTGTGTAATTTAGTTTAATATGTTTAAATTGTTACCTGATTTTTGTTTTGTTTTTTTTTCTTTTTTGTCTATGCTAGCTTTAAATTTTATGACATGTAGTAAATTAGGGTTTTAAAATTTTATATTTTAGTATTATAATATTGTAAAATTGTATTTAAATTGGTCAATTTCTTGTTAACAAATTAATAAATCATTTTGTGTACATAAATGTAATTTTTTTCTATAGTTTAATGGTATAATAATATGTCTTAATAAAGAAAATCCCAGATTACTGAGATCCATTCAGTCAAATTATTTGGACCAGCCTTAGAAATTAGCTCATATTTCAAAAATCTTATAAACAAATTAAATTTCACAAAAACTATTTAACCAATTTTTCCCATCTTTTGCACAAAATTCAGACACAGTAAGACCCTCAAGTTCAGTTACATTTTAAACAAATTTTAATATAAAAAGTTATTAACTTATTCAAAAACGGCAATTTTGTTGTTCATTTTGTTATAACTTTTTTGTTTATTAACTGATTTTGATTTAGCATATCTCATTTTGTTTATCTGTTTTTTTCTGAAAAAGTGTCTGTTGACATCAAATCTCTAAATACTTAGACAAGTTTTCAAGTTATGAGCACAATAATGATTTTGATATTGTGATTTTTTTATTGTTTATTTAAAAATAGTTCCACTAAAAAATTGATAAATTCCTAGATTACAGTCTTTTTGTAATATCTCATAGTATAATATACATGCACTATACAGGGTGTTTCAAAAAAAAGGTAACCCCGTTTCTAGGGTAGGTAAAAAACTGAAAAATAATTGGGGTTTGCTTAGTAAAAAATTTTGTTGAAGAAAAAAAAATTTTACGCATTTTTTACGATTTTGCCGAAACTACTGGCACCATTGTAATGAAATTTTATACGAATATATTTTGGAAGCTGATACATCGCATGAAGTTGTTTTTATATCTGATTCTCATAGAGGGCGCTAGTTACACGGATCGTACTAAGTATTAGTCAATATAACTTTTTTAAGAGTATAATTATTAATCAAAATTTCAAGTAAACTTCATTCAATTTTACACGAAAAAGGTACTCTTGGGAAAACTCGATACTGTGTACCCTTTTCCGAATATTTTGATTTGAAAATTATGAAGTAATAATTTTTAGTTAGTAATTAAACAAAACTTACAAGAAGAAAATTAAAAGTTTATTCTTTTTTCTAAAGATTCCATTAACCTTCTAAACGGTAGGGGATCAGCTATGATGTCATTAAATTGACGTTGAATCCTTTGTTCCAATTCTTGGCGTGAATTTACCTCTGTAGCATAGACTTTTTCCTTAATATACGACCAAACTGTGTAGTCCAAAGGGTTAAAATCGCATGACCGAGGAGACCAATGAATCGGAGCTTCTGCACCTCTACCAATCCATCGATTCGGAAAATGATTACTCAACTAATTACGACACTTTCTATCAAAGTGTGGTGGACCTCCATCGTGAATAAAAAATAAAGATCTTAGCTCGTTTAGCGTTAAATCTTCTAATATCTCGAATAAGGAATTGTTTAAAAAATCAAGATACATATCACCATTTAAATTTCCAGGTAGAATATGATAACCTATTAATTTGTTACCTAAAGTTGCTGCCCAAACATTAACTTTAAATGAGTGTTGGTAATGTTATACCCTTTTGACTCGTGGGTCTCATCACACCAGTAGTGTGCATTATGGGAGTTAAACATACCTTGTCGCGTAAAGGTTGCCCCGTCCGTAAAAAGAATGCATTTTAAAAAATTTGGATTGTGGGCTGTCCTTTGTTGCAATGTTTTACAAAAATCCACTCTAACCAGTAGATCATCTGACAAGAGCTCTTGGACATTTTTTTTAAGATAAGGATGTAATTGCTGTTCTTTCAGTATCCGTCAAGTACTTGAAGAAGAAGTATTTGTTTGTTTTGCTATATTCTTACACTAACTGTTGGATCTTGATCAAGTAAATTTAAAATATTATTTTCTTTATTAATTGTTCTTGTTGTTCTTGGTCTACCAGAATTTATTTTATTTGGTCCCACATTCCCAGTTTCTCGACAACGTCGTTCAACGGCTCTAAATGTTTTTTTACTTGGTAAGTTTCTTCTAGGAAACTTTTCTGCATAACGTGTCACAACTACACTAGAACATCCTAAACATTCGCCCAAGGTTAATAGCATGTCAGTGGATTCAACATATGCCGCTCTGTGTGTTATCACCGGCTGTGTTCCTTTACATTGGAGAGCGAGAAATGAATGAGATAAGACTGGCCGAGAGATTGGTTTCAATCGGACAGTGGCAACAAGAGTGGGAGGCAACACGTGATGTGGCGGAGTGGACGAGGTCACTAATCCCGAACCTTCGAAGCTGGGTGGACTGTGGGCATAGGCAGCTGGATTACTATCTAACGCAAATGCTCACAGGCCATGGCTGCTTCCGCAGCTACCTTTTCAGGTTTAGGAGGGCTCAGTCCGATCAGTGCCTTTACTGTGGTTTCTCGGACACTGTGACACACACGATGTTGGAGTGTGAGCGTTGGGCGGATGAAAGAGAGAAGTTTGCAAGAGAGTGTAACTGCAGAATGTTTGATTCCGTGAGAGAAATGGTGGAGAAAATGATGAGGGATAAGTGGTGGTGGACACGGATCCACAAATTTGTCAGGGAGCTGCTCTCCTCAAAAGAACGAGAAGAGAGGGAACTCGTAACAGAATTTTAAGACAAGCGAGTAGCACCTTGGTAGGGTTCGGACTGTCGCAGGCCGAACTAAGAGTGAGTAAGCGACAGACGACACGAGAGAGATGGCAGCCTCGCTAAGGCAGGGGGTTGAAAGTCCTTGGTGGTTCGTGTGGGTGTGGTTTTCCTGGATGAATGTGTCGGAGAAAGAATGGGAATCGGGTGATAGCAGGGTATCGGGAGAGATGTATGCTTTAACTGGCCCTTCCATCCTGATGTCTGGTGTAACAGAGGAGAGGTTTTTAGTTGGACGCCGACCGTCTCGGAGTGGTGACGGGGCGAGGTGTCAGGGGTCTAAATTCCTTGGGCATCTCGCCCCTGCACAACTTCGCTAGGGTATTAGGAACCCAACACTACCTGTGTGAGTCACAGGTGTCTGTATGCAGATTTTCCTTCTTCTCTTTAAAGATGTAAAAAAAAAGGATTCAACATATGGGTACATTTTGATTTGATTTTACAAATAACAAGGTTTCAAAACTCTAATTATTGTTGATTTATCGTCATAACAATCAATAAATGTCAGATTTCCATGGCACACTTGGAGAAAATAGAGGTATACCTAGTAGAACTTTACCATTACTACCAGCATCAATTATTACTTCAGAATTTTCAAATCAAAATATTCCGAAAACGGTACACAGTATTGAGTTTTACCAAGAGTACCTTTTTCGTGTAAAATTGAATGATGTTTAAGTTTACTTGAAATTTTGATTAATAATTATACTCTTAAAAAAGTTATATTGACTAATATTTAGTACGATCCGTGTAACTAGCGCCCTCTATGAGAATCAGATATAAAAACAAATTCATGGGATGTATCAGCTTCCAAAACATATTCATATATAATTTCATAACAATGTTTCGGCAGTATCAGTAGTTTCGGCAAAATCATAAAAAATAGGTAAAAATTTTTTTCTTCAACGCCCTGTATCTTGAAAACGGATGGCGTTACAAAAATTTTTTACTAAGTAAACCCCAATTATTTTTCAGTTTTTTACCTACCCTAGAGACGGGTTTACCTTTTTTGAAACACCCTGTATACACATTTCAACTGTAAAATCTGTCTATACATTTGTGTCAAGAAAAACCTACTAACTAATTTGCCTATTTTAGCAATATTTGCTTTTAAATAATTAAACCAGCTACCTCATACTTTCCCCTATAGTTGTCTTTAAATTAGAAAACAGTTGTCAAGAATTTACTTACATTTGAAGAATTATCTACTAAACACAAGAAAACCACATCCTCCCTTTGAAGACGGACAGCAGAATGAAGAGGTAAAATTGTCTTATCTTTTAACATCTTGTACATTAGAGGACCAGACATGTGCTCAAAGTCAGAAGAATCTAGATCATCCCAATGGATAGAGATGAATTCAGAGCAGTATTCTCTAAAAAAAGTACACATTAGTATTTAAAATACACTGTAATTTCATTTTACATCGTAAAGGTTTACCTTAAATTGGGTGCTTCTATTTCTTCAGCTACTGAATAAAATTTAACACAGCACCTGATATCTACTGCAGAAATTAGGAACTGTTCACACATACTAACTAGGCTATGTAATTGAAATTCATGAGCCTTTTTCATTAAATTTAAAGTTGCTGTAGATGACAGAAGGTTTAATTTGTTAGTATACATCCATAAAACTATAGCATTTGCCACTTCAGAATCAATTTCAGACCAATCCAATTCTTTCTTGTAATTTAAAACACTTTCATTCCAAATATTACTTCTAGCTGATAAAATGATTTTATGGGCATTAATTTCTTTATCTTTAATTTTAATTTTGATGTCACTGTATGCTTCAGAATCATACAGATTGCTGATAATTTTCAAGAGTCTGGAGGCAAAAGTGTCTTCTGTGTTGTTGGTATCAGAAGCTACTACATTGTTGTATTTGATTTCAATGTCTCTATATTTACTTTGTAGTTTGGAAAACTCTTGTTTTAATAGTAATAGATGTTGCTGAAGTTTAGTAACTTCAGCTGCAGATCCAGCTACAAAAAATTATGATGTAGATATGACAGGTAGGATATATCTATAGCTGTATGGCAATAGTTGATATGTTCTATCTAGCCTAATTTTTCAATATAGGGTTTTGAAAGTTTCAAAGGCCCTTAAATTCTGGTGAATTTCAAAGTGAATTACCAATATTTATTTCAACTTACCACATTGCATAGGCAACGAAAGTTATTAACTGGTATTAGCTAATTGTTTAGTGAATACCTTTTTTTTAAATATTTTCTTCAGAATAGTAGATATACCATGTTTTACCAACCCAACAACGAGAAGTAAATGGACATATCAATAAATGTATAAAAATAGGAAATTAGTTTATTTTACAATAAAACCTAACAAATCAATTTTTTTTAATATTAAATACCTACTTATTACAATTTTTAAAATTCTTTTTATTAAGAATGTCAACTATTGGATGAATTTGACCAGCATAAACTTGAAGTGGATATGACATAAAACCAAAAGAAAGAACCCAACAACTGTTGCAAAAGGTATTAGACACTCCTGTGCATATATATATATATATATATATATATATATATATATATATATATATATATATATATATATATAACACTGTTTTTGATGGGTTGGAGTCAATAAAAGGGGCTATTTGTTGACTATTTTTTACTCGAGCTTTCAATTGTGATTACAATTTTTATCAAGAGCTTCTAAAAAATACAAAATGTCTTACAAAGTTGAACTAGAAATAAAAAATTTTTTGTTAACTCACCAAATAAAATTAGTTTTTTATATAAAACTACTGCTTACATATTAAATACAAAAAATATTAATAAAAAAATGTCTTATTCTAATAAATGTTTCTCTGAAAAATTTAGATGAAGTTTCTTAAGAAAAAAAATTGAATTTATAAACAAAAATAGAATAGCTACAACCAGCCTAAATGTCATAAATACTAACTTAAAAATTTTTATTTTTGACATATTGTCAAAAATAAAATTTTGTTTAAAAAATTCTTCTTTGTTTAGTAACAAAAAAGAAGAAGATTTATTCACCATTGATAGATGCATGAATTTTGAATTTTCCATGTATTTGTTATATTTTTTCCAAACGAGTCACAAGTACTTCTTTTTTCTTACTCTTATATATATATATATATATATATATATATATATATATATATATATATACATAAAATCAGTTTTACAGGCCTTGTCGGCCCTTGGCTTCTAACAACTTGGTTATTTCCCTCCATTTTTTTCGGTCCCTTGCTTTCTCTCTTCAATTTCTCACGCCTATTTCTGACAAGTCTTGCTTTACTGCTTCCAACCACTTCTTCTTTGGATGTCCTCTTCTTTTTTTCCCCATTTCTCCCTCCTTCAGTATTGTTTTTACATTTCGATTCTCTAGCATTCATATAATATGACCAAATATAATTGCTGGTTTTCCACACATCCTCATTATTTCTTTATTCGTTCGTCGTCTCCAAACATTATCTGCCATCTTTATTCCTCCAAAGATTTTTCTTTCTGATTACTGTCTCATAGACTCATATTTTAGCTGTTCTTGACACATTTTTTGCTTTCAATAATGTAAATAATGTATTTAGTGACCCTATCGCTCTGCTTCCCTTCATTAATCTTTTGTGTATCTCTTTTTCTTCTTTTTGTCTCCTTTTTTATAGATAGGACAAATAAGAGCACTATTCCATTGTTTCGGCATTTCTTCCTTTTGCCAAATTATTACTGTCAAGTGAAAGATCTTTTCCTTCAATCTTTCGCCACCTTCCTTAAAAATCTCAACTGGGATACCACTTTCTCCTGCACTTTTGTTGTTTTTTAGGTATCTTATTATTTCTTTGACTTCATTCAGAGTTGGTTCCTTGCATGTCCCTCCCTCATCTTCTTGCCAATTCTCATTTCCCTTAAGTTCCTCTTGTTGGTCTGTATTTAATAGATCTTCGAAATATTCTACCCATCTGTTTAATTTTTCTGTTGTTTCACCTAGAAGTAAACCTTCTTTGTTTCTGCAATACTGTGGATTATTCTTTGTAGTTTCTCTGGATTTCTTGACTTCTTGGTAGAAATTCTTTACCTCTTTGTTTATGTAGGCTTCTTCTATGTTTTTCAATTGCTTTTCTAGCTGTTCTCTTTTCTTTTTTTTGCAAATTGTTTTCACTTCACTTCTTCTTGTCACATAGTTTTTGATCACATTATGGGTATTTTCTTTATCTCTTTGTAGTTTTGCCCTGTTTCTTGTTTGCCCAAAAATATAGCATTTGACAAAAGACTGCTGTTAACATATATTCTAACAATAAGGAAGTGCAGTGAGAATGGTGGGACAACTGGCTTCATGTACCATAGGGGAATTGCAGGTAGGGGCTCAGATGAAGTTGCCTTATGTGTTTTTAAATTTATTAAAGCCCTACTTGAAGAAGTAGGGCTTTAATATTATTACTTACTTTAACACATATGGTGGACAAAATCGCAATATTAATATGACTGATATGCTCTGTTATGTTTCAAGCTAGAAAACTAATTGAACAATAGACCAGAAGTTTTTTATCTCTGTACACACTCATTTTAAATATGACGCTAACCATTCTAGTAAAAGAGTGAAGAAAACCACTAATATCTTAATTACAGCATTTAGAGCCTAGTACCAGTTCATCAGGAATTGAGAGGGGAAAAATAATTCGCTGTGGAAGAAATGGACCAGAAATTGTTTTATAAATTTTCTGAAAACCCAACTAATAGAAAACCTCTGATGTTGAAGGTGAAAAAACAAATTGAATAAAAATTAAATGGCTGAGATATGCTCAGCCTTTTGAAAAATTTTCTTTAAATACACTCTAAATGTCAGCGGACCTTTTAGAGTAATGGACTTTCATAGATTAAAAAGAGGAAGATATTCAGCTGCAACATTAGAGCTGGTATATCATAGACCATTGGACCAAGTTCCATGGGTTCTATAATTCCTTTGACACAAGTCAGTCAGCACCAGGATGACAATGACAGTTCTTAATAAAAAATTATGGTACTAGTGTAATAAGCTGGGACAATGTCTATGGAGATGAAATTTATATCAATGAATTCTGCTTCACTTACTATGCATTTATATGTCTATTTTACATATATAATGTAGGAAATCGAAAACAAAAACACTAAACATTCACTTTAAAATTGTAACACATTAAGGGGGCTTTCAAGCTTTCAAAATGATATACTGAAAAATTAGGCTAGATTGACATACCTATCTACTATTGCCATACTCATACAAAGTTGTTTTTCCAAACTTCGTTCACAAATGGCTGTAGTGGCGAAACATAATGTGACATATCACCATAATCAGATATTCTTAACCTCCTAAGGTATGGGATTAGGCAGGACTTGATATGTAACATATCAAGTTCTGCCTTATCTAAAAAGTACTAGAGCTGACATATCATGTATTTCATACTCATTTTTAACTATTTTACCTTCACCACAAACATATCAAACTCCGTCAATTAAAAAAAGTGTTACTAAAGAACATATCAAGGCAATAATCTGATTTTGGCAAAAAGTCGAACATATATTTTGCCATACAGCTACAGATATATCTGTATAAAATATTGATAATAAAAATTTTTTGCTTTAATAAAAACAAACCTACCCATTTTTAGAAAAAAATCTGAAAAATATTAAACTATTTTTACAATTTGTGTTTTTGTTTTATTTGAACCGCCCCAAAATATTTCGATATTATTTATATAACCTCTAACTCAAATTATTTGACATATTCGACATTGACAATGACATCAAGTTGGATTCTGTTACAACGTTTACACAAGTGAAGTGATAAGGTTGATTTCTAAACTTATGGTGGCGTTGGCGCTGGCGTTCGCCGTTGACCTTGGCGCTGCCTATCATAGACTGCATTCACTGCATTTATAAACTTTCGGTTGGCGTTGGCGTTAAAGATCACATCTAAATTTCTAACCTTACATGTTTGATTTGGTATTATTAATTTTTGCTTGCAAATTAATACAATGGAAAATGAAAATGCTCAGCTTTTGTTAGGTGCAGTAGCACTGATACTTTGTATTCGAGCAGTACTGAGCCTTCGAAATAAAAGACAACGTCGATACAAACGGACGCCCATTAACCAGAACAGAAACACAAGAGGTAATTTTAATTATTATAAAAATATGAAAAACTGGGATACCCAGCAGTTCCAGTATTTGAAAAATTATTACAAATGGTAAAACCAAAAATAAATATAATCTATCGCTCTGATGGAATTTCTGTTGAAGAGAAGCTTGTTATTATCTAAACCCTTCCAATTCATAAACACTTGGAAACACAAACATAAACAAATAATTTAGTTTGATTTGTTCGACAAACATTGTCACTTTTTCGGTATTGCTATTGGATGCGATGACAAAGATACAGTTTTTTTTATGTTGTCTGATCGTGACTACAACCACAGAAGGGTTGGTGTATTCTGTGCTACAACGGTCAACGGCAAATAATACCGTACCGAACCAAAAGATACCGTCATCCGTAAAATGGCTGCCGATCATGACGGTTCGTCATCTTTACAGAAAGAAAATGAAGTAATGAAATGCTGTAACAAATCGTGTGCAGTATATGTCTGTAAAATATGTTTTTCTATTTATCATAAAAGTTGAGCTGAACGGTCAAAAAGCAAAATTATCGTAGAAAATGGAAATAAAATCATTTACTAAAATAACCTAACTTTTATTAAAAGTTAGGTTAGTTTACCACGAAATGACGATCAAAAAATTGAATCACAAGAATTTTCAAAACAAGTATTTAAAGGAATTGTTAGGTGAAGCAAGGAAAAATATTGTGTTACACATAAATAATCATTTATTGCTAGACAAGATTAAAACTATGGAAAAAATGAAACTGTAACCAAAGGAGGGAATACTGCCACGATGGCTGGAATCGTAAGTGAAAACTCAAAAGAGTCTTTAACTGTTGTAAATGCTACAGATAATATAGATGCAAATG